GTGGTTTTGCCAATAGCGGTGCCTTGCTCATGTAGTTCTTTAGGTCTTGTCGCATTCGGCAATCCATGCGATATGTTGTTTGCCCCCTTTCAAGGCTCTAAAGAACGGTACGCATTTATCGGTAGCCTTGAAAATGAAATGTGTTAAGGTAGCGACACGTCCGGTAAGGCTCTGAATGTCCTTCTGCGTTTTTGGCTTCTCCATGTCAATTATGGCCTTGATTTTCTCGGGATTTGCTTCGATCCCTCTCTGACTGATCATGAAGCCGAGAAACTTACCCTTATTCGGTAGTCCTTCAGTATACCGAACATAAGGGCCAAGTTTTCTAGATGTTCCCATACCGTTCGGCTTTTCACCAACATATCATCGACATACACCTCCATAATGCTACCAATGTGTTTAGCGAAAATTCGGTTGACAAGCTTTTGATATGTTGCCTCTGCATTTTTCAGGCCGAACGGCATTACATTGTAACAGTACAATCCATGGTCAGTGATGAATGCGGTATGTTCGCTATCAGCAGGGTTCATGAAAATCTGGTTGTATCTTGAATAAGCGTCCATGAAGCTGAGCAGCTCGTGACCAGCAGTCGCATCGACGAGCTGGTCGATCCTAGGCAACGGGAAGCTATCCTTCGGACAAGCCTTGTTCAGGTCAGTATAGTCTTGACACATTCGCCATCCACCCTTGGACTTCTGAACCATTACTGAGTTGGTAAGCCAGACAGGGTACGTAGCTTCCCTGATAAAGCCAATGGCTTTTAGCTTGTCAACTTCGGTGCGCATGGCCTCATATCGTTCGGCATCATACGAAAGGCGCTTCTGCTTTACGGTTTATAGGCGGGGGAGATGCTGAGCGAATGGCTAATAATATCTGGGGAGATGCCTGGCATGTCATCATAAGACCAAGCGAACACCTCCGAATGATGTCGTAAGAACTCAATGAATTGCGCTCAGAGTTGTGGGGTGAGTGCAGTGCCGATTTTGACACACCGATCGGGTTGCCCTTCGTTCAGTACCACAGTTTCCAGCTCTTCGGCAAGTTGTGTTTGTGGCGTCAAATTCTACTTCTGATTCCAACCCTCGAACCTTCCGAATGGGTGATTTGTTTCCCAAGACCTTCATCCTTGAGTCCCGTAGGCGGGCATCGATCCTGATCGGAGATCTCTGCCTTTCGGCTTCCTTATCGTTGGTCCGATGGGGACAGTCGGTGTAAACCTTCTTTGGTATGTGTGGCTGGTCCCTGGGTGCCGGAACCACCAGTTGCTTGGAGGGCGCAGGCGTTGCCTTTGCCCCCTTCTTACCGTTCTTCTGCCGACTGGGAGTCTGCAAGCTCTGGGATGATTGAGTTGTTTGGATGTTCTGCGTATGCTGCTGATTGAGCAGTTGCTGGGTTTCGTCTACTTTGGACGAGAGGAGGTTGTTGTGCTCTTGGAGCATGGCCATATCCTTTCGAAGGGAAGCGATTTGGGCTAGAAGCTTGGCTTCGGCTGTGGTTTGAATCACTGGTGGATTACCGATGGGAGTGCAGGGAGGCAGTGTGGGCTTGCTCCCCCTTGCCTACCGAACGGCAATCCATCCTCCGATAAGAATGTTGGTACTGAAGTGGTCCCCATGTATTTTGGGTGAAAGAATGGGTCGATTTATATCGTTTCCCATAGACGGCACCAAACTGTTAACGCGGAAAAATAGTTCGGTAACTTTCTCGCTCAACTTAGTGATGTTGGGCCTTCGGTGTGCTTGGGGCTTCGGTAGAACGCGTGATCTGTAAGACAACAAACACTCGGTAAGACCTAAGGTATCGATGTGGTACCAGCCGAAGGCTCTCCGATGCTTAAGTAAGTATGTATTTAGTAAACTTGAACTGACAGATCAATATGCAGTATGCCGTAAGTTCTGATTACCTCCATTTTGGGGTAGTTGTCCTCTTTTATAAACCTTGGGAGGTGTGCACTTTGATTGGAATTTCGATGTGGGACTGTGAACGCCAATTGTGGGTCTGCCATGTGTCCTGAGAAAGATGTTGCCCTAATCATGGGATCGGTAAGGAGGGTGCCGAAGGCAACCATGTTTAAGTTCAATTCCATCCACGTGTCTGGTTTTCATAGGCTGCCCATTTTGGGTATAAACAATAGTAATGCAATTGACAGACAACACGAGAAATGTAATTAACTGCCAAAAGTTGGCCTTTAATTGATTTCTAACAAAAATTGCATCGCTGAATTATTTTCTATGACTACCAGAATTAGAAATATTAGTATGCATTGCATGAATTGTGTTATTATTTAGATCACAAGCTACAGCACAATTTCCGTTCTTTTTGCCAGTGACACTATTTATGGTCTTAAACAAAATCCTACATGCAAGCATTTGTTTTGTGCATGTCATAGGAAAAGCAGCAACCCCAAATAAATTCACTCATTATCCATATCATACACAAGTACATTATTAAAATAAAAAAGCCACCAAAATCACCACCAAACTTATTATTAACGATATGAAAAATATGAATGGAAGTTTCAACATATAATATGAACTTGAGGAGCGCCATTCATATTCAACCAAAAAAAAAATTTATTAACAATGTAAATTTCAAAAATTATGAAAATATTTATTCCCGGGCATAACTTGAAATGCCAAAAATATTCAACAAAAAACCTGAACAACATAAAACCCAGAAAATATTAGGCTAAACAAGAAATGGAAGAGAATTAAAAAATATATATATATATATATATAAATCAAAACCAAGGAAAATAATTGTTGCTGATGGGTGGGGTTTTCAGTGAATCTCAAATCTGTGATGAGATGGGGTTCAAGATTCGAATATACAACAGTAAGACATTATAGCTGGGCTGAGATGAGATCGAAGATGCCGCACGCAGTTTGCGTCAAGCCTTTGTCACTGTTGAGAGAGAGGAGAGCTTATCAATCTGTATATGAGAGGAAGACTCAGTCACTGCCCGTGAAGAAATAGAGGAGTCAACGTGTGAGATGGGTTGTTGGTCGTCGTCAACATAGTGCGAAAAGAGAGGGAGCTTTTCTGTTTATGAAAAAATCTCAAATGAGATGAGGAATTAGGGTTGAGATGGAGAGATACTATGGTGTGGAAAGGCCCACCATAATCTTTTCTTTTTCTTTCTTTTTGAAAAATGAAATATATAATATTTACCTACTACCTGTTGGGGCAGTTTAAAAAACAAGTGGTGCACCAGTGCGCCGGGTGTACTATAGACTTTCCCGTTTGTTTTTAGTGTTGGAAGATTTTTATGGTGGACTTATTGTGTTGGAAGATTTTTGATTGGTAAATAAATTTTTATGTGGTTTTTATTTTTGTTTTAGTGTCGGTGGACTTTATCAAAAGTGATTGTAGTAGGCTAGTCATTGTGGTGCTGAACTCAAATTGACAGGCATATGACATATGGTTGGAATATCCGCAGTTTGGAAATTGGTATGAAATTGCATTCTCATTTTCTGTAAGTTACAAGAATGCAATATCATCTCTTGTAATTAAAAACTTACATGTAACGAGGATGTCATTGTTTTATTGTCCTGGTCAATAACACAATGACACATAAAAAAAAATTATCCTACGTATTATTAATCGGAGATAGATCGGAGATAATAAAAAGTGATATCCCCATTACATGAGTGCCTCTCTCTCTCTCTCCCTCTCTCTCTCTCTCTCTCTCTCTCTCTCTCGTGTAAGGTAGATTTTCAATTACTAGGCCCCGTTCGTTTTCCTTTTAATAGGTATAATACCATGTGTCTAGATACCATGATACCTGGCAACTGCCACGCGGTATTCCAGTATCTCCCTATAATTTCTCCAGACATTAATCTCCCTCCTATATCTACTCTCCCCATGGAGAATTGTCCTAAAGATTGGAGCTAAAAACTGCTTGAATAGTTTAATTACAACGGAAAAATAAAGAGTCACCACAAGCTGGCAAAACTCTAGCAGAAACTCCTGATTCACTCGAGTTTAACCAAATCTAAAAGCCACCCAGAATAACAAGAAGTGGAAGGCAATTTTTTATTACACAACTTCTATTTAACGAAGCAACCTACAACTACATATAAAGAATACATTAGGGGTGTATCGCTCTAAGCTAATTAAGATAAAGATTACAAGATAAACTTCGTTTTGGAAGAGGAAACAGTTCAAGATAAAAGATGAAGTTACAAATTCAAGATGGGGAAAACCACAAGGCTCAGCCACAATGATTGCCCCAGTGCTTCAAAAACTATTTTAGAACAGTCTTGGCAATAAAACCAGCACCTGGGTTAATTTAAAAACAGAGGGAAAAAACATGAGCCATGAAACTCACTCTGTAACATCCTCTACTTTCATAGCTAATGAGCGGAAAATGTTGACAGGAGAAGTCTTCCTGTAAGTGACCGCAGCGGAATGCCAAAACATATGACAGTAACAAAACATCTTATCCACAACAGACTTTTCTGCTTCCTCATTATTTCAGCTGTCCCTTTTTACAAAAACGAGCTGTGAACTAGAAGGATGCTGAAAAACACAGTTGTTTGGTTTTGGATTATTCTCAGCTGCTCTCTGGAGCTTTATCTGTAATATCGTAACATTCAAACATTAGGTTATTAATTCGTAGGGCGGCATGAATCCATCTCGTGGATAGAAAATATAGTTCTTTGGCACAGTTTGTACCAAATTGTAATACAGGAGGAGGGCTACTAATGTTATAAAAAAAACAAGACTTAAAGTAATAGTGCAGTACTTTCAATGAAATCATAAAATGGACTATGATTCACAAACCAACAGGTAAGAAGAAACTAATTCCTCAGCAAGGATCTGACAATTTGTAATGAATCAATTTAATAAGAACATTCCTCAGTAGGATGAAGGAAACTATGAGAAAAACATTCCTCAGTTGTGCATGTAGCATTCTACTTTTAATATCCCAACTCCAAAGTGTCATGGGAACAAGGAAGAGAAGGGTCATAAAAATCTATAAAAACAGAACACGGAAATAATGGTAACATGAGTAGCTCATCCCATGGCATAGACAACCTCAGAATATTTCATATTGAACTTCAATGAATGACCGTTTGCTTGTTAAAATTCTTGAAATGTATGGAAACATTGAATATATGTAACATTCGACAAATAAGCTATAATGTGTAGAGACAAAGCTTTTGTTGGAAACAACAATCAGTATCAAACTGGCTGTCCTTGAAGAATTCATAGACAAAGCTATAATCTTTCAATGTGGGACAAGAGGAAATTGAACTTCAACAATATGAGCACTAACATCAGTTTATCATCAGTTTAACATTGGTTTTCTTGCAAGAAAACCAAACGAAGACGTGGCCCACAGGGTTTAACATCAATTTATCTTGTTTGAGATGAAGAATTCTTCATCAACACAAAGAGAGCTTTTCCATGTGGTCAGATCAGATGAAGGCCGCCCCTCCAAACACAAACGAACCATCTGCAGGACAAGATAGCTCTGATCAAAGAGCTAATAGAAAGCATATAATAAGGATGTTAAGTTTATTGCTGTCGTTAAGTATCCCTTTAGTAAAAAACATGTGCCCCTTCCACTGCCGTCAAGGGACCTTGTAAATTATCCGAAAGATTAAGATGGATGGTTCCAAGCAATGGTCTAGTGCAAAGAATATAAACAAAGGTGCCAACTTTCAAATATAAAAAAGCAAACTTACTTTTCCTTTTTTATTTCACTAAGGTCACTTGGCAAACCTCCCCACAATCACCTGCAAGATCATGTGATGATGGTCAGTAATGAGTAATCCTGTAAGCTTCATAATACAAGGAACAGAGATTGTGAGAGAGTGGAGCAATACCTTGGAGAGATCTCAGCCCTATGTTTTCTGCTACAGCTTTCTTTCTTTCTCGAAATCTTCAACTTCAACACATCAGAGTATGCATTTCTTGAGTTTGTTGGAATATGATAAGGTCATTCTACCATAAAAGAGCATGCAATGCGCTTTAGTTTTCTTCAGTTGTAAATGTAAATTGAATGTAAAATTGTTATTCCCTAAGAATTAACAAGTGAAAGAAGGAGGGCTTCCATTAGCAGCAGTTACCTTGAAATCTCAAAATACACAATCCATGCCAAATTGGGTCAAGTTAGGGTAGTTCCCATTGGGAATCTTACGCAGAGAGTCTAGAGATACAACAAAGAAAAAAAAAAATCTAATGAAATGGAACTGTAGTTCGAATAATTGCAACTCGATTTTGAAAAGCCAGTGAGGATTTCAACTCGATTGCTTTCCATTTTCATGCATATCTCAGCTCAACAAGATACTCCTAAGTGCAAGACATTAAGAATTGGATCGTTAGATTCATCTTAGAATATGAACAAACTAATTTCTCTAGTTAACCCCAACTCATGTAGCTTCTGAAAACTATTTTCCAACCAACAAGTATGTACAAGAAAATAGAGATGAAAGAGACTAATTGAAACGCTAAAAACTTAAAGGGGACAACACTGAAAGATGCATATTCAATTATCAAATGTTATAATCAATGGAACGGCAATTAGGTAGATTTATATGAATCCAATTTGTGCTTTGTTTTGAATTTGAATCATAAACATCTAGTTGTGTAATATTATCTTATCATACCTGAAAAGTTTTTCGGATTGGAAATGGCATCGATGAATTGGAACAGGAACTTTGTCTCCAGTAATGAGAACAGACCTGGGCATCCATCATATATTTCTAATTCTTCAAGACATTATTCCATGTTACGAGTAGTACTGGCCCTTTCATCATGTAGAACTCCACACCTGGACGACAAGCTCAGTCTTTCAAGCAAGTAAGATGAGAAGGCAAGCTTCCTCTTAGCTTCAGACTCTTGTCTAAAGTCAGGTCCTTGAGATGAGGAAAATCTGGACACCGGCCTTCTGTTCTTCATTCCTCCCACTCTGGCAAATGAGTAAATCAGATGATAAGGCATGGATGTTATCTATTACAACAATGGGGAAGCAAAATAAATCAGGGAGAGTGCAGACCAATTGTTTGTTTATTGCCCAGTATCTCAAATTTGTGGTATGTATTACTCAAGGAAGGCTGGAGTGTGTTGGCTAACATCAGAAGGGGAGGAAACTCATAAATGACGTTTTCAAGTTATTACGTCGGGAAAGGACTTTTATGATGAAAGATTACCTAATCATGAATGGGCAGTGATGCTTGTTATGTTAGATTGAGATCTGTTTACCGCATTGTCCAAATGGTGGTCTCTTGCTAGAGCTCCACCTTGAGAACATTTCCTTCCCCTTATTTGCTGCAATTTGTTTGTAGAAAAACAAAAATCCATATACAATGGTTGCCTACACAAGTTGCTTTGACCTCCAAACATGGGAAAGTTTCTCAAGTCTGCAAGTACACATCCAACATTTCAAGTCTCATCAAATAGAACTTTGTAGCTGAAGGAATGATTTGTGGGATGGAAAAAAAAAATCATTTGCAGATAAGATATTATATGCATATCTACACAATCATATAGAACAAGCTACTAGTACTAGATAATGAGCAGCAGCTGGACCAGGGAGATGGGGAAAAGGAAAGTTGCCTCCTTTGAACCATGCGACTGGTATAACTTCCTCCATTAATTTTTGAAGAAGAATGGGATGAATGAACACTTTTAGAAAATTGTATGAAAGAAGATGGCATATGTAGGTTTTTATTCTACTTGAATAAATTTACCATGTCAATCTTTTCAGTTGAACAAAACCATTTGGTATGTATGTACTGATTTTTATACTTAGAAAGTACAACAAATAGAAGAACAGCCTTACAAACGTCAAAAGCTCTTCAAATATTCGATTGTCGGAAAAATAAAAATAAAATTTGCACCATGAAATACATGAACTATTCGGAAATTGATTCTCTGAGATTTTTTTTTAAAAGTGTTAGAAAGTACACCTCCAGATCTTCCACAAAAATATCTAATTGAGACTTTCGATTTGACACGTACGGAGATTAAACATCCTAACAATACATAAACGAAATTTAAACAGAGTGTGCCTATGGTTATAAGTCAAAATGAATATGAATTAAATAAATAAAAATGTGCTGAACAACAGAGAGCGAGCATGATCTGGGAAGAAGCATTCGATGCAACTGCAAAGGTTAATTGGATGCAAAATTGATGGCAAATTTGGGGCAATTGACATAAAAATTATTTAAAATGTGTATTTCGGTTTATTTGGATAGTGAATTTCAGTTTTTGTGTTGTATTAGAAGAAAAGCAGTTAAAGCGGTTATTTGAAGTACATACCTGACCAAAGTTTGTTTAAATTTGTCTCTATGTGAGAGAGAGAGGTCGTATCATCATATGATGACTTCAGCATTTATCCGGATGCAAGGAATGTGAGATATGCTGTCCCAATGATCTTCTCCCGTCTTATTCTGATACCTTTTCTCCAGGCCAGAACAATTGTAGATTCTCAGATAAGAAAGAGATGGCGGTAGACCCTCTTCTGGCAGGAATTGGAGACTCGGACAGTCATAAATATATAGCTCTTGAAGAGAAGTGAGGTGTTGAAGTGCCTCTCCTGGCAGGAATTCCAGACTGTCACACCTAGCAGAAAAGTAAGGTGTGCAAGTCCCTTTCCATCCAAAGATTTCAGAGTTGATAATGAAGAGATACTGAGAGTGTGAAGAGTGGTTGGGAGCAGCTGTTGCTTGAGCAACGTCTCCAAGATTTCATCACTTCCCCTGCCACCAATTGTAAATTCTTCAAGGGAGACAAGTGCTTGCAAACCCCAGTTACAGTAGTCTCCCACTGATGAAGATGGAGCCCTCAGTCTCTCACAATTCTCAATTGTAAAATATCGGAGGTTGGAAGGCAAACCCCCATCCTCTGCAATTGACTCCAGATTTGGAAGATCCCATATATACAAATATCTTAGGGCTATGAGGGTGTGAATGCGATCAGGTAATGACTTCAACTTCTCGCATCTGCTGAATTCCAAATAAGTCAGGTTGGGAGTGGGCAATCCTCCCTGGGGAAAACACTCCAGATTTGGACAGCCTGAGATATATAAATTATTGAGATGACTGAGATTCTCGACCGCTCCTTCTTCTTCAATCAAGCAAAGCGATTCCAGATTCTCACAATTCACAATATAAAGTTGGCTCAATTTGGGAAAAATGCCCAAGGGGAAGGACCTCATTGAATCACAGCTATTCTGTATCCACAACCAGTAGAGCGATGTTAATTTGGCCAACATCTCATGAGGTAGGAATTCTAATCTCCTACAAAAGGATATGGTAAGTGAAGTCAACGAAGTGGGTAGGATATCTTCAGGGAACGACGATAGGGTTGGACAATTCTCGAGAGTCAAACTTTTAAGACGATTGATGTTAGGCAAGCATTGTATGTCATTAAAATTTTGAATCCCAAGTCGGGAAAGGAGTTTTGTCTCTAGTAATGATAACAGACCTGTTTGGCATCCATCTTCTATTTCCAATTTTTCAAGAGAATTGTAGTTGAGACTAGTACTAGTACTAGTAGTAGCAGTGGCCCTTTGATCATGTAAAACCCCACACCCATTCACGCTAAGCTTCTTCAAGCAAGGCAGATCACAAGGCAAGCTTCCTCTTAGCTTTGGACACTTTTCTAGAATCAGCTCCTGGAGACGAGGAAAGTCTGGACCTCCACTTACACTCGATACCCATTCCTCCCACTCTGGCATCTCCTCAAACTCCCGCTTCTCCAGTGATTGAAATGACTGAAATGGCTGACCATACAACTCAGGACCTAACGTCCTAAGAAATTTCATCTCACATATGAAGAGCTCCTTAAGAGCAGGTAGCTGTCCAAGCGGTGGCAACTCGAAGCAATAATGACAGCCTACAAGGCGCATAACTTTTATTTTATTGAAGGCAGAGTCTCCCAACCAGTTTGAGAAGCTGGTCCCGCCATAAAGTGTGACGGTCAATTTCTCCAAATTCATGCAAGGTTGGAGCTTGTCAAGTACATCTCTCACCTTTACGGAATGATCGGCATCTTCGGAGACCCATGCCAACTCTAACTCCTTGAGATCTTGTTTGTTCTTCAAATTAGCTTGCAAGGCATCCCTACCATCAACCACATTATTAAGCTTCAAAATTGAAAGCTTTCCTCCAAGATGGGACAACTCCCCCAATTCGCCAATAGTCGACCCAGTAGATTTCCCCACAACAAAAGTAGTCAATGTTCTCAAACTTTTTAGTCTACCCATTTGCACCGGCATCTCTTCAATTTGAGTTCCACTACAATCAAGATGCCTCAAGTTAATCAATTTTCTCATGTCAGTAGGCAATTCAAAAAGAGACCAACAACCTGCCAATAGTAATGTTTGTAGACTATAGAGAGTGCAAACTGTGACAGGTAACCTTTCGATTCCAGTATTAGAGAGATCCAAGTAGCGCAAATGAATGAGGTTACCAATAGAATTGGGTAACTCAACTATATTATAATATTTTGACAATGTTAGCACCCGTAAACATAATAGAGATGGCACTAACTCATGTAAAACCCTTTTACCTACATAATTTTCATACCATTCTCTTCTTAGAGGTAGGAAGGTTCGCAAATGGTTAACCTCATATAATGGCTCAAATTTCGCAGCACCATCAAATTGCCCTCCAGCATAAATTTTCTCATGTCTGCAGGCAATTCAAAAAGAGACCGACAACTTGCCAATAGTAATGTTTGTAGACTATAAAGAGTGCAAACTGTAGAAGGTAACCTTTTGATTCTAGTATTAGAGAGATTCAAGTAGCGCAAATGAATGAGGTTACCAATAGAATTGGGTAACTCAACTATATTATGATATTTTGACAATGTTAGCACCCGTAAACATGTTAAATTTGGCAATAACTCGTGTAAAACCCTTTTACTTACATAACACGGATACCCGTGTAATCCTTGAGGTAGGAAGGTTCGCAAATTCTTAACCTCATATAATGGCTCAAATTTCGCAGCACAATCAAATTCCCCTCTAGCATACGACAAATGCCGAACTCTTTTCAAAACTTCATGTGATTCGCCCCCTTCCCATCTCAAACAGGATTCCCTAGCCACAGACATAGCTAAGTCATTGATGAGATCATGCATTGTGAACTGTGATTTCATTGATCTTTGAAAAAATGATCGTGATAATAAGTCATCAAAGTATTTCTTAGTGAGCTCTTCCATTCTGTTCTCACTCTCAGCTTGTGGAATTAAACTTTCTGCCACCCAAAGTAGAACAATATCTTCCTTTTGGAATTCATAGCCCTTCGGAAAAATTGAGCAATAAGCAAAACATCGTTTTAAATGAGTTGGGAGATAATGGTAACTCAATCTTAGAGCTGGAATTGTATTACATTTTTCAGGAGGCAGCTCCCAAATATTGCTGTTTAGTATGCTATTCCATTCCTCATAATTTGTGTTGAAACGTAAGAGGCCTCCAAGTGTTTCCGCAGCTAAAGGTAAACCATTGCACTTAGTAGCAATTTTCTTACCAACTTCTTCCAGGTCCAGACGTGCACTCGAGTTTCCATTTCCAAAGGCATGTTTTGAAAGTAACAACCAGCAATCCTCATCGGACAGCTGTTTCAAAAAGTGAATCGGAACAGTGCGTATGCGAGCTGCAACACTCTCATTACGGGTTGTCACAATGACCCAACTTCCACTTGCCCCGGATGCAAAAGGACGTTGCAAGACACTCAAATCACCATAGTTCTCATTCCAAAGGTCATCCAACACAAATAAAAATTTCTTGCCCTTTATTTGTTGTCCTAGCTCAACTTGAAGAAAACTCAGGTCTTTATTATCGTAAGCTTTTGAACTGACTGACTCAAGTAGAGTTTTAGTTACCCTAGTAACATCGAAATCTTCCGAAACATAAGCCCAAGTTCTAAGATTAAAATGCTCTTTCACTTTGTCATCATTATAAAGGAGCTGAGCGAGGGTTGTCTTGCCAACCCCGCCCATTCCCACTATGGTGATGACAGATACATCCTTGTTGCTTGCTTCATCAGATAACAAGAGGTTCATCAGCTTTTCTTTATCTCCATCCCTACCGTACACACAAGATTCATCCACCAAGGAAGTTGTTGGAGTTCTTTGAGAAACCTTCCCCCCAACAACACCTTCTCTCAGCCCAAGGAATTCCCTTTGCTTTGCAAGGTGCTCTAACCTTTCAAGCAACTTATGTATCCTACCCTTCATGCCTTGATAATTATGATTAAGAAAAGTAGGGAGGAAGTCCCGCACCTTATTCGTGACGGTTTGAAATTCAGCTTCCACCTTGCATCGCAAAACTTTAGCATTGATCTCATGCAGAAGGTCATCCGCATCAAAGACACCATCTTGAAGCTTATTGAGCCACTCCTTCACGTAGCTGTTCAGGAATTGCTTCTCCTCCGCGTCATTAAGCACCGCATTAAGGCTCAACAACGTTATCTCCAGTTTCTTCACAAGCGACTCGTCCAGTTTCTTTCTCCGGAACAAGTCCACGAACTCGCTGGAACCAATCTTGTCAAACAGCACCTGCACGGAGGCAGAGAGAATAGCCTCTCCAACCAAAGCCATGTTTCGATTCTTTGCAAGGATTTGGACTTGAGTTAAGATTTGAAGCAAGTTTTGCAGCGAAGGATTAGGCTGGTGAGAAGTTGAGATTTATGTTGCTCTCAGTATCATTGACTCTGAAGTCTTCGCGTGAGAATATATTATTGCAAAAAGACAAGTGCGTTTGTATCCTGGGGAACCCACACGGTTAGACTCATCATAAAGCTGTCGTCCATTATTGTGTCCTAAGATTTTTGGTAAATAAAGCTTTTAGGCTTAATTTTTGATATACCCTGAAAGTCCATTTTTGACATCAATTTATTAATTTTGAAATCTATATATAAAACTCAAATTCTAATTAAAGATATAAAACATCATAATATTCCTACATATTTACAGTATTTGCCACTAGACTTCAAATAAGTCAACTGGATAATTTTCAAGCATGTCATTAAGTCCCTTATTTTTAATTAATATTTCCTCATTTATAGCATATCAATGACTTCGATTTTCTTTTGGCATTCCCTCTAATCCCTGAAATTTCGACTAAAAAAAAAAA